CGGGTGTAAAAAGGAGGTGTGACAGAAATCACAGAAGGATAATAGTACAGTACACTGAATTAACAACAGGGGATCTCTCGAGATACCGTCTCGTATTCTCAAAAGTAAATGTGCAAGGGATCTCCCGGGATACTGTCTCGTAGTCCTAAAGTAAATATGTAGGGTGATCTCCCGGAATACTGTTTCGTAGTCCCAAAAGTAAATGTGCAGGGGGATTTCTCGGGATACCGTCCCATAGTTCCAAAGTAAATATGCAGGGGGATCTCCCAGAATACCGTTTCGTAGTCCCAAAATAAATACACAGCTCAAATAATGGAGGTAACAGCTATAACACGAAATACTACAGTTTAGACTAAGTACAAGTCAAGGAAGAAGCAGGAAATCTACCAAACATACGGCACAGAGTTCGGATAAGCATTTAAGACATGTAGACATGCTATTCTAGGCTAAACGGGATAATTACACATGCTAGTATAACTCAATTAAAGTGAAACAGATTATTACTCAGTGAAAAATGGGTTTTACAACAAATAGCATGTGTACGCGCTCGTCACTTCACGTACACAGCGCTCACATATCACAACAATACCAAATCTTAAGGGGAGTTCCCCCACACAAGGTTAAGCAAACAACTTACCTCGAACCAAGCTCAATCAATCGGTAACAATGCTTTTCCCAAGAATATCCTACTCCGAATGACCCAAATCTAGCCAAAAGCAATTACATAACATAAATATAACCATAATAGACCAATCTAATTAATGAAATCAAGACTTAATAAGAAATTCGAAATCGCACTAAAAAGCCTCTCGGGGCCCATGTCTCGGAATCGGATAAAAGTCACAAAATATGAACACTCATTCACTCACGATCTCACTTGTACCAAAATCATCCAAATCCGATGTCAAAATCTCAATCAAAACCAAAAATCTTAATTAGTTGAAAAATTTCCAACCTTTTCCCCTAAATTTCTCACCCAAATTCCTTAATTTAACGATGAAACCAACTATAGATTAATAGAATACAACTAAAAATGAGTTAAGAATTATTACCCAAAAGTTCTCTCTGAAAAATACTTGAATTATCGCCTTAATCCGAGTTCTCAAAGTCCCAATTGAAAATGAGGAAAAACCCTCGAACTTGCCCTTTTCTGCCTAGCGATTTCGCATCTGCGGGCCTATGATCGCACCTGCGGAAATTCCATCGTAGGTGAGGAAATGACTTAAAAGGCTGGGGCCGCTTCTGTGATTAAATGGGCCGCACCTGCGAGTTCACGCTTGCGGGCATTGGTTCGCTTCCGTGGTCCTTCACTGCTCCTACGAGTCCCTAAGCGCATCTGCGGGCATCGCAGATGCGGCATTTCCCTCGCACTTGCGACCCCTGGCAGCTCCTCATTTTTTTCGCTTCTGCGCTTGCATCTCCGCACGTGCGATCCCGCACTTGCGGTCTTCCCACCGCAGGTGCGAAAACACCAGAAACTTCAGCCATTTGCATAAGTCCAAATTTTATTCCGTTAAGCACCCGAAACACACCCGAGGCCCCCGGGACCTCAACCAAAAATACTAACAAGTCCTAAAATACCATTCGAACTTAGTCAAGCGCTCAAATCACATGAAATAATGCTAAAAATACGAATCATCCTCCAATTCAAACTTAATGAACTTGAAACTTCAAATTTCTACAATCGATGTCGAAACCTATCAAATAATGTCCGATTGGCCTCAAATTTTGCACACAAATCATGATCAACATTATGGACCTACTCCAACTTCCAGAATCGGAATCCGAGCCCGATATCAAAAATTCCACTACCGATCAAAATCTCCAAAAATTCGACTTTCGCCATTTCAAGCCTAAATCAGCTACATGCCTCCAAAACACAATCCGAGCACGCCCCTAAGTCCAAAATCAACTAATAGAGCTAACGGAACCGATGGAACTCCATTCCGGAGTCGTCTTTCAACTACGGTCTAAATCCTAAAACTTAAGCTTCTATTTTAGGGACCAAGTGTCCCAAAACACTCCGAATCAAAAACAAAACCTCCCGGCAAGTCACATAAGCAGAAAAAGATACATGGGAAGCAGTTAATAAGGGATCGAGGCTATTATTCTCAAAACGACCGGCCGGGTCATTACACTTTTCTATTTATAAGATAAGAATTTTTGGTTTGATCAATTTTTTTAATTATTTTATCCTTAATTTTTTAATAATATTTAAAATATCCTAGATCACTCACAAAAAATCAAAAATAACTAAAATTATATCATGTCCAAACACAATTCAGATTTTCAGAATTTTACAATTCTTATGTCCAAAACGCCCACTAAATTGATCATCTGAATTTGCAACTCAAAACAAAATCGGTGATGTAGTGAAATATCGGTTCAAGAAATATTTTTCTGAGTAAAATAATGGTTTCCACTCACAAATTTTTATTTTCACAAACATTTTTGCCAAATAAATTTATGTTCAAAAACTAGTTAAATTCTAAGTAGTAATTTGGGATGTAATACGATATATTTCGTGATCTGTACGTTGGCAATGTAGATTTGAGTGGAAATGATACCAGGTAGCTACTTTAATTTTAAATATGTTGTTTAAAATATATCCACCGTTTATAATGTATTTAAAGATTAACCTATTTCGCTCAAACTTCAGGACATGTCGTCCTAGAGTTTAAACCTCAAAATTCAAACTTCAGGACATCGTGTCCTGAAGTTCGAATCTTATGTCATGAATTTTAAATTAGTGTCACGAATCTTATGTCAAAAATTCAGGACGCTAAGTCCTGAATTTTCAAATTCAGGATACTAAATCCTGAATTTCCAAATTTAAAATACTTAGTCCTAAAGTTTGGGTGAATTGATTAATCTTTGAATATATTTTACATAGCAGACTAAAAAGTGGTTATTGATGTAGTTCACCCTAAATTTGAAGCTCAATTGTTTGAGATGGCCTACCTTCATAACGTATTGCCATAAGTAAGTACGGAGCTCAAAAAAGAAATGACGGACTTTTATTGTAGTATATGGCAAAAGTAGGGCTGTTCAAATCGAATCGAAAATCATACCAAATTGAAAAATCAAATTAAATCGATTAAAAAAATTTAACTAGGTTTGGTTTGATTTNTATATATATATATATATATATATATATTGAATTTTCTTTAAAAAAAATGTTAAAATATTTGGGATCCTCTCATCTATTAACCTTGAAAGCGTACATTAAAGAAAATTATTATTAGACGACTAAGAAAATAACTATCACGTGTTACTTAAAAAAAAATCTTCGATTAGAATATTTTAATAGATATGTGTTTGTAAATTTTTTCAATATTTATTAAATACATATCCACTTATCAAAACTTTATCTATAACTTTAACAAAGTAAGATCGGAATAATATTCATGTAACAAGAAAAACCTGAAAATCCGAAAAACCCGACAAAACCGAACCAATCCAAATCAATATAGTCGGTTGGTTTGGTTTTGATAAAAACCGAACCAACCCGGTCCATGTAAACCCCTAGACAAAAATGTCCTTAAGAATTCTCAGGTCTTAAATCAAAGGCGGGTGCAACATATTAATGCGAGGTTCATCTGAACCCATTATTTCCGGTACGAAGTATAAATTTATGCGTAAAATTATTTATAATTACAACAAATATTAGCTTTAAACCTATAACTTTAAAAATATAATAAATTCGATATTAAAAATATAATAGATTCGATATTAAGAATAAATTCTAGATCCGACTCTGATCTTAATTAGTTACAGCTTCCATAAATTCTGAATCATTCTCCATTGCTTGCAAAGTCTTGGGTAAACAGCAGATTTCAATATCTACACTCCCTTCTTCTACCCCAGGAAATAAAGTAATTTTCCCATCACTTTTATTGGCCATTCCACTCCTAACTGCAACTGGTTTTCCCCAACCAAAATCAGTATTATAAATATTATGCCTTGGAGAACTACTAATAGCCAATTTACTCCCCACAAATACTGTACTCTTAGAAAATAAAACTGGATTTTCTGCCCATTCTTTATAGATTTTAACCACTTCTTCAGAATTTTGTGAATTAACCACTTTGTTCAATTCCATTGCTGCCCATCCTAATCCATTTTCTAGTAGCTCCCCTGCAGTTGTCTTTACTCGCTTAACATGAATTGCATTTCCAAAATACACTTCTGGAAGAGGAGGGTTTAGCCGTGATCTTGTACCTGTTGAAAATATAATTAAGTAATTAAATGTGCGCTTTACATAACAGTTTAAGGTTTTAAATATGAAGGTCGCATAACTTAATATTGTATCAGAAAAAGTAACGGCATAGACATAATCAAATAGAATTTTCGCGTACTTGACCATAGAAAAAGAATCAGGACGCAATGAGATGTGTTGAAGACATAATTAGTATAGTGTAATAATTATTCCCTCTTATCCTATTTTATGTCAGATCCTAAGCCAAGGGTCTTTCATAATAGCTTTTCTGTCTCTTTGAAGGTAGAGGTTAAGTCTGCGCATACACTATTCCTCCCCGCATACATCACTTATGAGATTACACTGAGTTTGTTGTTGTTGTAGTTGTTATTGTATCCCATTTTATGTCATAATGTTTGACTGAGCAAGAAATTTAAAAAAAATAAATTAAAACTTGTGATTTAAAATAAATCATAGATATTTATGGGATAAATAATCTCATTAAAGTAGAATGAAAAATTAAAAATAAAATAATTTTTAAATTCAAAAATATATCATTCTTTTTCGACAACATAAAAAAGAAGGAACAATTAAGTTTTTAGATACGATGATGGTTACACTATTCAAACAGAATAGATATATGGCAAATATTACTTTTAGCTCACGGCCGAAACTAGTTATATTCGATAGCTACAAAAATGCATATATATATATATATATATATATATATATAGCAAAAAAGAGAGCATATATTATTATAAAAATATAAATACAATATTAATATATCAAAATTGCCCTAAATTATTAAACGGAAGACTTCACAGGGAAAGGACATAACTACAATTATCTATTTTTTGGACTACAGTACCTTCTATGCTAATTTTAATATTTAAGACTTTAAAATTCATAAAATTTTATCTATTAAATTCTTATTAAAAGGATGTAGGGAGGTTTAACAAAATTAGTTTTATAAGAATCCTCTGTATTGGCAATACATTATCACTCCATAATGTCCAATACCAAGAAAATATAAAAATAATATTAATTGAACTGCATAAAGAGTTGAAATTGAGAAAAAATAACCATGATAATATAATTTTACATTATATTTAAACTATTTTTCTAACCAAATAATATTTTTTATTAATTTTTCGTGTAATATTAAAAAATACTCAATTATTAAACAACAACTAAGAAAATATTTAAGAATATAAATGTGAGAGAGAGTGAAAGAAAAAAATGATTGGTAAGAGACAATACCAATAATGATTCTACAGACATAAATATCTAAAAGTGAAACGTCATATCAAATTTTTTACTCTTTGAAAATAAAATTTATGATGGATAAAATTATAATTAAGATTAATTATTCAAAATAAGAGATGAACTAATATTAAGATTTGAATCAACATAGAATAATTTTTTTATGTTAAAATCAAATAATTATTTCTTTTAATTAATTATTTAGCAAGAGAATCCAATTCAATTATTTTTTAAATTTATCATATCAGTAAAATTCTTATTCAAGTTAAAAAATATCTTAGAGTATATAAATTTATTCCATAGAAAAGAGCGTGAAAACACAAAGTAAAAAGGTTAATATATTATTAAGAATCAAAATGATATACAAGTGTCTGAGGAAGCTCCATCAAAGCTAAATCCTAAACAAGAACAAGCTTTCAAGACTATATGATAAAGAGTCGACTATGCTATAATGAGATTATACTTTGTAGATGTCTCCGATAGAATCGAAATAATATTTCTATATCATGTATTATTTGCAAATATTATACCAAAGAGGTATGGCACTGTTAGCAATAATAACAAGTGGTGTACCAATAATGATTTTATTATGAGTCCACCCACTTTAGACTTGATATAGCTCTTCAAACAACTTAATTATAATCATCACAGATATATCAAAGCAGGGTAATAGTACTAAATGTATGAGGAAGGCAAAATTAATAATATGGGATGAAGCACTTATGTCTTTAGTATTAAACGATCGAAATAATTGCCCGAAGTTCTAGAGATATATTTGATATTAATGAACCGTTTGGTGGAAATTAATAGCTTGAGAAGTAATTTATGTCAAGTACTACCAGTAGTTCCAAAATCGACAAAACGGAGACTATAAAAACTAGCTTGCCAAAGTTATACTTCTGGTCTCAAATGAAAAAGATTCAACTGACAATAAATATAAAAGTAAGAACAGATCCAGTATTCAGTGTCTTCTTGCTTCGTGTCACAAACAAAGAAGAGTATCTAATAAAAGATGATTTGGTTCTTTCTGAACACTTGGTTATCAATCCCACAAGTAATAATAGTGCATTTAATTAGAGAAATATTTATATCATTAGATTAAAATGCAATTTATGCAAATCGCATGATAGAATTTAAAAATGTATCTTAGCTAGCAGAAATGAATATGTTGATCAACTAAAAAAAAGGTTAATTGCAAAATTTTATATTAAAAATAATTTTTTTTTTGTTTTTGATTCAGCAGAAAATGATATCAATAATTACTACCAAGAGAATACTTAAATACTTGACTACTAAATGGTCTTCTACCTTACGTGTTTGTTGTCAAGTTTATTATTTCCTACATATGTTAGTGTCACCATATATATAATAGACTAAGTTAAAATTGATCTTCCATTGTATATAGGTTGATTTTGAAGAAAAATATGTCTGTTATGCTACTGAAAAACTTAGATACGCTGAATAACTTATGTAATAGCACACAAATGGTATATAGAAGTTTTGACAATAACGTCAAACATGCAAAAATTATGATACTGGTCAATGTGCTTCTAAGTATATTCTTATCCTCGAATTCAGCTTCCATCTGTCGAAACTATGGAATATCCTTTTAAATTTGTCTGAAATAATTATTACTATGTGTATGTTTTGCAAATATAATAAATAAATCATAAGGACAAACATCCTAAATATTGGACTATATTTACTGTGAAAACTGTATGTTGCACTTTCAAGAGGGATATCAAGATCGACAACAAGAGTTTTGGTTAAGACAGAGCAACTAAAGCATTAGGAGGAAACATACACAAAAAAAATATTGTCCACAAAGAATTGTTCGTTAAGATATCATCACATTAAATACCTTTAAACTATAATACATAATTATCTAACTAACATGACAAAATTTGATCATTTGTTTAAGTTTTGATAATGTTTTTTTATTTTAAATTCATGTATTATGCTAAGTTAATAATTTTTTTGGGCATTTAGATGATTGTTGTATTATTATACATAAAATTTCTCTCAATAATTAAATTTTATTGTTTCTTCATATAAATAAATATTTAAATCATCATATGTCATTATTAACATGCGACGCACGTTCATAGATACTAGTTATTATAAAAGCATGAATAAAATGTCGGTTTACAAAAATAACCTTACAATATTAAGTATAATAACTCATAATAAAAGGACATAACTGGAGTTCTAGATATTAGCCTTATAATCCTATTAGTTTTAGGACATAATACCACACTTTAATATTTAGCACTTTAAAATTAACTAAATTTTGTTTATTAAATCTTTCCTTATTGAACTAGGTAAGAATTAAATAAAAACATTAAATTTAACCTTGTATTGGAAGAACTTAAGAGAGAATAGTCTAAATACGTATGGAAAGTCTTTGAAAAAATTTGGAGTTAAAAAATTCGAAAGATTATAAACTCAAGAGTCCACTTTGACTCAACGTTTTAGAAACTAATAATAGTGTGTGTATATATATATATTACCTTCTTTATTTATATTAGAATTTGAAGGAATATTGTTTTTACTGTGAACAAAATGCAGTTGCTTCATAAAAATTGTAGTTGCATTTTATGTCGATTTTAAAGATTAGTTTTAAAATTATTTTATTCTATTTGTTGTTTGATCTTCATGATTTTCTATCTTTAATTATTTAAATAGAATCAACATTTAACATTAGAGAAAATTTTATTTACTTTTCATCTCATAAATCAAACATGTTGTTTAGTAAAATTTACATGAGTTTTCAACATTGTATAGTTATTGATGGGGTACACAATGCACATACCAAGATTAATCTATCCTTACTTATCTCTATTTTCATGTATTTTAAAATATAGTAAGTAAATAAAAAAATCTTAAAAATTACATCATGACTCAAAGCTAATATCATGTCCTAATGATAAATAACCTAACTTGTCGGTTTACAAAAATAATCTTATAATATTAAGTATAATAACTCATAATAAAAGGACATAACCGAAATTCTAGATATTAGCCTTATAATTCTATTAGTTTTAGGACATAATACTACACATTGGAATCTTATAAATATAATTACTTCAGGATGTCTAATTCATATAAAATTAAACAAGTAAATATCTTTAGTTATGTAATCCTATTACTTTTAGGATATATTTCTTAAAAATTCCTATTACTAATTAATTTGAAAATGTATTATAATGTCCTATTACTAACCTAGTTTGAGAATGTATTATATTGTCCAAATTCATTTAGAAAAAAGAGAGTCTATATTATTATAAAAGCATAAATACAATACTAATATACCAAAGTAGCCCTAAAATATTAATGGAAGAACTCATAGGGAAAGGACATAACTACAATAACTTATTTTTTGGACTACAATACCATTTTTTTTGGTAATTAAAAGTTTTATTTACCAAGTAATATTTACACAACATCTCTCTCTTAAGCCTGATCTGGACATCAGTCCCAGATGCAGCTTATCTTCTTAGTAGTGTTCCTTCTATCTACTATACTATTTATAAAACAATAGGATAGTAGTTTAACGCTAATAATCTTCCCTTCAGTCTATGCTTCATACCCCCTCGATAGTGAATTTCTTGAGCTAGTTGTCTAGTAATTGCTTCAGCACTCCTTTGTCTTGCTTGAAATATTCTCTCATTCCTCTCTTGCCATATGCAGTATATGCTCCCAGCTAGAACCATTCTATATACTTCTACTTTACAATTCTTCCCTTTGCATTCCCTTTCAG